CTCTCTCTCTCTCTCTCTCTCTCTCTCTCTTACTTCGTCGTCTTCGTTTCTTCTTGCAGGTTCAGCGATTATGGTCGCTACTCTCTTAAATCGGCGCAGCGGACTTCTTCAGGAACGACGATCTTCTTCTTCTTCATCGGTGGTTCCTCTTTCTCTAGCGGCGCACACGCCTCTTCTTCGATCACAGAGACTTCTCCCTCCCGACGGCCTCCCCAATAGGGTGGAGAATAGCAGGAGACAGTCTCCATGGGCGCCCGCACAGCGAAGCGTGCACGTCGTAGTAATGGGCAATGTGTGCACAGGCAGCAGCAAGGCGGCGCGCGTGGCAATAGCGCGCAGCAGCAGGCACACGCGCGGGAAACTGGTGCGTGATCTCGCAGCGATCGGGCATGCGGCTATTAGCGGGGTGCGAGCAGTAACGGCCAGCAGCGCGGGAAACCGGCACATGGCAAGTAGCGGGATGTGCGTGGTAGCAGCGAGCAACAAGGCATAGCTTGTTAGTGTGGGAGCTGCCGTGCAATCCGCAGTACGGGCGTGCAGCAGCGACAACGCACGAAACGGGCAGCTGGCAACTAGCGTTCATAGACAGGCGCGCGATTTGGTGACGGGCGTCTGCGAGCCCTCATGACAGCGGGCAATGCCTTGCGCGATAGCAGATGCGCAATATGTACGCGAGCAAAAAACTAGCGCGTGGGCAGGGGCGGGCGCGTGGGAGGCAACAGGCAGCGGAGCACGACAGTCGAGCAGCGCTTGCTGACATGGCGCTATGGTGAGCGCCCCTCCTCTGGCAGCATGTGATCGGTACCACATGGCGCACTCTTCTCCTAGGCGCACAATCTCGCAAACGTGGCACTCTCTTTAGGTGCCTCTCTTCTTCTCCACGCCCGCTGGTGACGAGGGCGACGACGATGGTGGTGCGGACAGCGAGAACCAGTTGTGATACCAATGCATTAAGAGTTGTTTTTCCCGACACTCAGCATGCGTACAAACAAATGATAATCAAGCTGGCGACTTGCGGCCACACAAAGCTCAGAGCTAACGAAGCCAAGAACGAAGCTCAAATTCAAACTTGTCTTGATCGGCTATTGGTGATCCTCATTTGATCTCAGCAACTTGTTCGTACACGCACCTTGGATCTCCCAGGATGTCCCGCATACACCAACACAACACACTCGCACACACACATACACACACTAACAGCCTACTCTTGCTGACATGGCAGCTGTGGCCGCTGTCTCTCTCCTTCACTAACTAGCTATCGGCTGTGTCCGATCGTCCTCATCTTAGCCCTCTTCGTCAATGGGCGCCTGCAGACCTAAGCGCACAAGACACCTCGACAACGCTTCCGCACGGCTCACAAGCAGAATGAATGAATGACTGATCGCTGCCTCTTTATTTATACTTTGGATTTTTGCTAGTTTGCCTCTCTCCAGCGGGCCCGAAGTGCACACAGTCCCGCATGGTACTTGCTGACTTGACAAGGTGCGACTGGGACTGGGTACCGCTGATTGAGCAAGGTAAGGCTGCCCACTTGACCGCTTGCCTACGGACTGCCTACTAGGATTCACGATGGGTCAGTTCTGGACCTTCCGAGATACTGTGGACTTTACCCTTTAGTACTGTAGCAGCTACGACTCCTGTCACTGTTAAGACCTCTAACCTACAGACCTACGGTTCAAGACCCGACGACCACCCTACCTACAACAAACAAACAAGCGATTTTCAAGACACGGGTCGCGGATTCGAGCACACACGGGGCGACTGGTACTGTACATAGGTAAGGGCGAGGTCAAGGGATCGAGCTATGGGAACTGCGACTGCTACCACAAAGGTGAAACCGTCTCACTCAAAGAAAAGAATGAAAAATAAAGAAGCATCGTTGTGCAACACGTGTGTGCTGCGAGGTGCGCGCCGGTGCGTAGTGTGCAGCGCGCTCACTGCGCACTGTGCACAGTGCGCGCGCTGCTACCTGTGCGCCCGGTGTGTAGGAACAAAATAAAATATTAAACATGCCCACTTCGAAGAAAAAAATGAAAAATGAAAAACCATAGTTGCGGCGCACGTGTGCGCTGCGCGGTGCGTGCCGGTGCGCAGTGTGCAGTGCACCGGTTTAGCAGCGCGCCCACTGTGCACTTTGCATAGTGCACAGACTGCGACTTGTGCCCCCGGAGCGCAGAAAAAAATAAAATGTTGAACATGACTCCCGCCCCCCCCCCCCACAGTGTGCAGTGTGTGTGTGTGTGTGTGTGTGTGTGTGTGTGTGTGTGTG